TATAATTTAGAATAATATTCAAGATCATTGTTTAGGAACTTTCTTTATTTTAATCATAACTAAAAAACACGCCTATGGTTTGTTATAATAGGAATTCATCCCGGATGGTTTTTCAAATGTAGTAGACTAATAAATATACGAAAGTTTGATTAGGAACATTACATAAAAACAAAGATATTGGTATAATAATATGTTATATGCCTATAAACAAGCCTATTCAACAGCCGTAAGTTATAACACAAGAAAGAGGTGTACTTTATTATAATATTACATTTTTATTATTTTATAGCATTTTTATTATAATTCTATAGGTAGGTACTATAATTATATTTATTATTGATTATTGTATATGTATTACATTTTATTATTTTGGACTTGTATTAAATTAAATTTCATTATAATTTAATATATGATTTAAGTAAGCAATTAACATTTTTTATGATATTATATAATATTTTATGTAACTTAAATGTATTTTTCAATACAATTTTAATATATTTATACTTCAGTTTTGATATATTTTCATTCATTTTCGTCGGGACTTTTTTTTACCGCGATTCAGGCATGTTACTGTACATTCAAATATAAAGTTGGTGGCCATATGCAGTTTAAATATAAATTTAGGTACATTTTGAAAATAAGTGACATATTTTCTAAATAAGTGACTTAAAGTGAGTCAATTTTAAAAAAGTGACCTACTTCCAGCCCTGAAATTAAATAATAATATAAATATAAATTTAATATAGTAGAAAACGTATTCGAGCGAAGCGAGAAAAAAATTGTTCAGTCGGCAAATTAATAGATCTACCACCCCCCCATGAATTGTTGTTCGGGACGGCCCTGGTTACAATTAAAATCAAAATTGAAAATGTTTTTTTTTTTTTTTGGTCAAATATGATCATAATAGTTGTGGTGATCGATGTACCTACTGATGTGACGAACCAAATTGCGACTAACCACTAACCGTTTTATTTTTCCGTACGGCGTTCACTAGGGAGACACGTTTTGTTCCCGCGGGGAGGCGAACGGCCATTTATTAGTAATTGTTATCTGGTTAGGGGTGGGATTTTACCATGCGTGCAACCTTGGTTCTGTTAACTGAATGGCAACCGCTTTGAGAGATCGTTTTCCGATTTCAACAGTCACCATAAGCGATCTACCAATTTATCTGGGAAAGTCGGTGGACGACGACCCGAACAGGGAGACGAATCCGATCCTAAACATATTTCAATAATCTTCGACGAGTTTTTGTTGTGTACAGCGCATGCGAGTTCGCCGAGTATTTTGACGTGTCTCCCACAACTGTCGACAAATTGGATTGGTGTACCTATTTATAGAAAAAAGAAATTTAAAACTGACAATATCCGTAAACAGCTCAAAAAGAGTGAAAATCAGTGGCGCCGAAGTCCATGCTGACGTCGGGCCGTGGCCCGACCTCTTTTTTGAAAAATGTGGCCGGGCCGGCCATATTTAATTTACATCATAACTTTATTATAAGCATGAGTAAATTTAAACCGTGATTATGAATAAATTTATATTAGGGTACCTCTATATTAAATAATTAAGATATTGAGGCCCTGGGAAGTTTTAAAATTGCCCGACCACATTTTAAAAACTTCGGCGCCACTGGTGAAAATATTTTCAAAATTATATGGTGAGTAGAAAATGAAAACATAAACATTCGGTAAAATGTTTATGTATCTACCGTGTTTGTTTTTGAATAACAACAAGTCAACAAAATCGCTACACGAGAATCTAGTGGACATCCAATAAGTATTGTAAAAATATGAACTTCAAAAGCTCATAAAAATTTGATTTAACTTGCTTGTGGACGTTTTTTTTTTTTTTTTTGATAAAAGTAGTCAAGATTATGAACAATTTTGTATTACATTTTCAAATCTTAGATTTAAAAAGAAAAATTGCTGTTTCTTAACAAAATAATTTTGTTGAATTTTCTAGATTTTTCGGTATTTTGTCAAGATTTGAACTTTAAATGCTTACAAAAAAAAAAAGGAGAGTAAGGACTTTTAATATTTTTCAAATATAACTGTAACAATATAGTAGGAGCCATGTATAAAAATGTCAAGCATTTTTACTAAACAAATTTTATTGACATTCATAGAAAAAAAAGGTGGGCAAGTGGGTGTCGCTCTGCTGTACAGTAGGTTACAAGTGGGTCACTGTATAATGGATGGTATTAAATTTGAATTCAATGATATAATATCATTGTATAAGAAAAACGATTCTGAGCGGTGACGGTATAAGACATATTATATACATATCTATGGTATTAAACAAAAAATTGACCTATAACATTGATTAAATATACATGTATATTTAATCATACATGTATATTTAATCAATGCCTATAATAAATTCCAAATTAATCATATCACAATATCCATTAGATACTTATAACAGTTATAACGCGTTATACATCAACAAACACCGTGATACTGTCATAGATATATAATAGTACACTTTAGAAGTTTCAAGTACCCACGAATAATATTATTCAATCACAACAAAATAACTAAAATCGTAATTCTTGGTTTAAATATGAAATTTTGTCTAAATTTGAAATTAAAATGTCTGTAAAAAATAAGTGTGTTTATATATTTTTTAGATTTTTTGGTTACAGTATGAATTATTTATGAGAATCTTTGTTTTAAATTTGCAATCTTTAGCTATAAAAACTGAACATTTTATAATTTATTAATTACAATGATTGATAATTTTCGAGATTTTGATAAATTTTGTCAAAATTCGATGTTTAAATGCTTATAAAAAAAAATTGTGCCCTTTAATATTTTTCAACTGATATTGTAACAATATATCAGAAGCCTTGTATTAAATTTTTACACTTTTTGGCCCAACGCAGATAAAACTTTATTGATATTTATAAAAATTGAAAACTGAAAATGTCCGTAAACAGCTCAAAAAGAGTCGAAATATTTTCAAAATTGTACAGTGTATAGGAAAGGCTAATCTGAACATTCAGTGAAATTTTCATGTATCTATAGTTATTCGTTTTTGAATTACAACAAAATAAGAAAATCGCTACATGAGAAATCAAGTGAATATCCAATGTTGTAAAAATTTGAATTTCAAACGCTCATAAAAATTTAATTTGACTTTCCGGTAGAGATTTTTTTATTGATAAAGGTAGACAATCTTATGAGTAATCTTGTATTAGATTTTCAAATCTTGGATTTAAAAAGAAAAAGTCTTACGAATTCTTAACTCAAAATAATTTGCTAATTTTCGTGATTTTTCCATATTTTGTCAATTTTTGAACTTTAAATGCTTATAAAAAAAAACTGTGACTAACGATTTTTAATATTTTTCATTTGCCTTTGAAACAATATACTAGGAGCCTTCTATTAAATTTTCAAGTTTTTTTAACCAACAAATAAAATTTTATTGATATTTCTAGAAAAAAAACTAAAAAAAAAATGAAAAATGAAAATGTCCCTAAACAGTTCAAAATAAATCAAAATATTTTGAAAATGTTATCGTGTATAGAAAATGCAAATAAAAACAACCAGTGAAAATTTCATGTGTCTATGGTCATTTGTTTTAAAGTTACACCAAATAGCCAAATTAAATACCAAATTCAATTTTCTGAAAAATCGATTTTGCGTAAGAATTCCCGTTTTTCCTTAATTTTTCTTTTGTTTTTCTTGGCGCTTTTGAAAAGTACTTTGAATTTTAAAATTTGACCTCCCCAATGCACCAACGCTATTCACTTTCCAATCGAGCAAGATACTGAAGTCGAAAATCGAAGCATTATTTCGACTACTTATCGTGTACACAGACACAAAAATAAAAAAAAAGTAAAAATATAAAAACACACATCATTGTAAAATCAATACATTCATCGTTCCACTCAGAATCTAAAATACTAATAAAATTGGAAACTGAAAATGTCTCGAAAATATTCAAAATATTTTTAAACTTTTAGGAAATGCTAATATAATCATTCAGTCAAAATTTCATGGATCTGCGGTCATTTTTTTTAGGGTTACACCACAAAAAATCCAAAATCCAAAATCTATTTTGTTAAAAATCGATTTTGCGTAAAAATTTCCGTTTTTCCTTAATTTGTATACATATATGTTTTCCTGGAGCTTTTGAATACTATTGGTAATTTTTTGACCTCCCAAAAAGTACCAACTAGATTCACTTTCCCATCGAACAAGATACTGAAGTTGAAAATCAAAGCATTATTTCCACTAACCGGCAGTTGCACAATTATCGGGAGTGTTGGGTGTGCAATTCACAGGGCCCCGAGACCTCATATACGATATTCCTACTATATGTGTAATATAGGTAGTCTACCGGACTACTAATCGTGTAGACACAAAAATAAAAAAATTTAATAAGAAAACACACATCATTATAAAACCAATACATTCATCGCCCCGTTCAGAATCTGAAATTTAAAAAAAACAAATTGTAAAAATGTTAATCAATACATCTACAGAATAAATCATCGCTCGGCTCTTAGAATACCCATAGAGTAAAATATTTAACATTTATTTAATAAATCCTCGCATTAGATCACGGTTTTCGAAGATATCATCATTATCTTCTAAGACCGTGCATTATATAGATAATATTATTATTATTAGATAATAATATTATTATCTTTAGCCATGCCCGTCACTGATTGGTTGCATGACAATAACCATTGACAGTGATAAGATTAAAATTTAATGGTTTTTTTTTTCAACGATAGTAGAGTGATTAATCATAAATTCTTAAATCTTTATCATAGACAATACTCGAAATTCTCAATAGTTAATTATTCATCGTCTGTGAATCGTATTTGAACGTTTTAGTGTTTCATTTTTCCGTAGACCGTAGTCACTTTAGTCAGTGCGACACTGCAAGTTGCGACATTCGCGAGTTCCTGTACATAGCAAGACAGACGCATTTTGGTTTGTAACGAAGTATTGGGCAATATCTGAACAATCGTATTCCATTTTGCGACAGTCATGGACGACCATCGCACCAAAGTTGATCTGTTGAAATTGTTGGACGACAATCATTTGACCGTTGCGCAAGGGGTGTCCGACCGGAAAAACTTATTGTTCGTCGTCGGCAAGTCGTCTGCCTTCAAGGAACTAGAAGAGTTCGCCAGTTGTAATGCCGACAGGGCCAACGTGAAAATCGACATTGTCGAAAACATGGGCCTTGGTAAGGGACGAGGGCACTGCTTGAGATATGCATCGGTGGCGGCTCGTGAGGTTCACCTGAGGTGGTGCACAAGAAATGTATAATATACCTATATGTGAGATGGTAAAAGTATTAATTTTGCTATAGGTGCATACCAAAATAATATATTATAAAAACACAATAAATGGATAATGTACGGTGTTATCGTTTCGACGAATGACGCAACATCGGGACATGAAAAAAATAGGTTCAGTGCACATATATGGTAGTATAACTGTGTATATGCAATACTACATAACCTACGTGTCGAGGCATGTAGCTAATATTTACAATTATTTAATCATTCACAGATACACTTCTCAACGTGAAAAACTGCAAAAACTTTTTTTTATTACAGACCATGTAATAATCAATTATATGTTACCGTGTAAATCTATTTTTTTAAATTTTTTTGGGTAGTTCACGTGCTCCTGTGCACCATACCGCGAGCCGCCACTAATATACATATCTTATATTTTAAACAGTGGTCGAGGGCATAACAGATAAGGGGGACAAACTCACATTGTTATTTCAACTAGGAGTATTTAATCGTTTGTTGGTTTTCGTAGCGACCGACGGACCATTGTACAGCGCCATTCTATCGGGCTTCGGGTCAGATGACATTGTGTCGTGCGACTTCATTTTATTACCAACATACACTAAGCTGCTGACTGCTGGCGGCACTCTGATTGCGAAAACCGAATTAGGGACCGAGGATGCGCTGATGAAGCGTATGAAACTGTGCGGTTTCCTTAATGTTGTCAAGAGTGAATCTGTTCCAGGAGTGGTTGTCGGAAATATGCCCACGTACAAGGTAGACACATGACTTACATGGATAATAATATGCTCAGTTTAGGTTTAGCTAACAATTTATCTAATTGGGTGTGCTCGTTTTTGCTTGTTACAAGGTTGGCTCTAGCGACAAAGTCACGTTGAATTCAGAGACGAAAGAAAATGTTGTTTCAGCGTGGAAGTTGGACGATAATAATTCTGAAACAATATCTGAAGATGATTTATTAGAAGCTGATGACTTAATAAAACCGGATTCTTCCTCACTCAGAGGTATGCAAATGAATTACATAAAACAATTTATTGTTATTTATTATGTTTTATTATTTTAAATTGTGTGTTGCCTAAACCATCAGTGTGCGCTACTACCAAAAAAGCTAAGGCTTGCAAAGACTGTAGTTGTGGATTAGCAGAAGAACTTGAAGCCGCCAATCGTCCCAAGGACGCACCCAAACCAGACACTTCCAATGCCAAGTCATCTTGTGGAAGTGTAAGCAAAATTATTGTACTCATTCTATTATGTCGTTTAAACATGACTACATCAGTACTGACATGCAACGATACAATCGAAACTCAAATTTTAAAAATAACTATGTTTTTCAGTGTTATCTGGGCGATGCATTCCGCTGTGCGAGTTGTCCGTATCTGGGTATGCCAGCTTTCAGACCAGGCGAGAAGGTTCAACTCACCGGAAACTTGTTACAGGACGATTTCTAATCGTTATATTCTGTCAATAGCACTCAACACACAACTAGAATATTAATTATACAACGGTATTTTAATTGTAATATTATTATGTATAGATCAATTTTTGAAATAAATAAAAAAGATATTTTTTAATTCAAATGTATTTTTTCCCCTCAAACCAAAAAAAATGTTAAGGGCATTACAAATATTATGGTTACAAATGAAAAAAAAAAAAAATGTTTATAATAGTTTTAACATCGAAAAATGTATAAACTAATTTAATTAATATAACTCAGCAGTTTAATCCACTAAGCTATTGGCAGTCTGTCAAATGTTTATACAATAAGTAAGTAACATAAACACTGAAGCCGTGCGTACAAGATATATTATTATAACATATTGTATATACACATGTAGTTAGAAAAGTTTTATAAATTATTATTCAGTTCAGTGATTTTTTTATTATGTTTGTTTTTAAAGCGTTACAAATTCTGCAATATTAAAAAAAAATTATAATAATAATAATAATAATAAAAAAAATCTTTATCCCTTATATCTAAAAGTAAATGAACTTAATTTGATATTAAACATAAAATTGAATTCATCGACTTAAGACTAAAAACTATTAGCAAATTGATATTATTTTTAATCTAAAAATTTTAAGGAGTATTTTTTTCCATTTGGAACAAATAATTTATTAAAAGGATGGCTTTTTCAGATGTTTGCTTTTTGTTTATTGAGAGCAAAACTTTCCAGGTACGTGTGTTGAGTGGGTTTGTGTAGACGTAGCATATTCAGTGCATCTTCTAATTTAAACCATTTGCGTTTGCGACCTTAATAAAAAAACAAAACAATAACATTAAGTTTGTGTTTATAAGCAAACTAAATTTTCATATTAATAATACAAAGGGAACATTGTTGTTTTGAACACAATATGTATCCATAAGATAATACAAAAATAATTAAAATTTAATTTACTATTTACACAATAACAAAATACTACTCGATATAATTACTTATTGTTATTGCATTAATGACACTAAAATTAAAATTAAAATATAGTTAAATAAATAATAATTTGCAATTGTCTTTTGGCACTATAACTTTTAAATGTATTTATTTTAACTATTTTTTCCATTATTACCCAAACAATAAATATGTATGTGTAAGCATTTTGGATTAAGACATTTTGCCATATAACAGCAGCCGCTCTAAAAGAAATTTCCATACCATATATGATAATCAGCAAACTAGCAAAGTATTGAATTTCAGAACATTATAAACATCATATTTTTTGTATACAAGTCCACAATAACAAAAATAAAACATAATACCAATGTATACATTTCTCCAGCTTGTCAATAATTTATTGAGCTCCAAGGTCACTTCCCCGTAAGATTAAAATTCTACTAGTCTATAGATATCTATAACCTATTACTCACTTGTTATTGTGTTTACAATAACCTGTCCTACCGCCATACAAATAAACAGATATTAATAACAAAAATGATAGGGACATAGTTCAATGTGCTTGTATGTACATGAAAAACCAGACATAATTTATTTTTGTGTTGATATTTTTTATCTTACAATCAAACCTTACAACATCTGAACATAATTGACATTCAGTAATAGTAAATATTATTTATACACATTACATATTTATGTAAACTGTTAATATGCATACAGTGTTGTCCACGTTAATAACTGTTGACGTATAATTGTAATTAACTACCGATTTATTATAATTAAAAAAACTATTTTAGATCCCATAAGCTCAAAATAATAATCTTAATACAATTTGTTCTGCGTTTCACTATTATTTAAAAACCTATGATAGTCAATTTGAGCACATTTCTGGTCAAATAATAGATATCAGTTGAATAAAAGTAGCTCTATAGCAATGTAAGTTTTCAAGTCGAGGCAAGATATTGGTAGAAATATGAGCGATAATGTGAAAGGACAAACTTGGTAAAACATTATGTTTGCAATTTTTTAAGATAATATCAAAATTATCAATAATCTAAAGAGATTAAATAGTTAAAACTAATAAATGTATACATACATTTATACATTAAAAAAAAAAACCTTTATAAAAAAAAAATACTTAAACAAGATTATTATTGCTATACATCTCTGTTAAAAAAAAGTTATTTACATGTGGCATGTTTTAGATAAAGATGAATTTATGTATAATTTATCTAATAATAAAAAAGCTATGTAAAGTTTCGCTTATTAATGGACCCCATTATCATGGAAATTGTACATCTCAACTTTGTTTTACAACTATGAGGTTATTTTTTGTAAGATTAGGTAACCTAAATTAGGAACCAACTAACTATGAAATTATAATAGTTATTAAGTTTAATCTTTAACTGAAATGAAAACAACATATTAAGCAATTTACCTTGTAAACTATAATTTGTTGACGGTGTATTACCATTATATTTTTATCACCGCCTTATTTTATGTGCATGTTATCTTAGTATTTTGTTTGCTCACGTTTTTGTTTCAAGTATGACACTAGATGTATTTTCTAAATACACATCGAGACTCAAGTTAAGAACTCTCGCCTATTTGATTATAATATTATATAAATTCAAATAATAGAAGCTTATAAATGAACAATTATGCATTAATACCTATAATTTCTATCCGGCTTATAATATTAAAACAATCAGTTTGTATAATTTATAGTAAATAGGTACTTAATAGAATTTATATAATGAATATCAAAATTATTATCGAAATTTACCAATGATATAATATTTATCAAACAAATTATTGAATAATATATAAAAATATCAACATTTAATGCACCTAAACTACACTTAAAGGAAAATCTCACCTATGCCCAAAGAGTCTTCCCACTCAGCTAGTTCTTCTGTTACAATCATAACAAACACATCTGTTCTATGCCGTCTGATATGAGTCTAAAACAGTAAATCAAATATTAGATATGGACCCACAGGCAGTTTATTATTGAAAAAAGAAATAATACTAACCCTATCTTCAAAGGTACCAAGTCTTCTGTGTAGTCTGCCCACAACACCAGCTTCTTCGACTACTTCTCTTAGAGCAGTAGCACTTGTTCTTTCTCAGGTTCAATCGCCACCGGGTACAATCCATTGTTCAGGTCTACTAGATGAAGTCACCAACAACACCTTCAAAAGTATCATATACTATATAATGTGCACAATAGTCTGTATCATTATTCGTTATATAAATTTATGGGAATATGAAAAAAGAGCACATTTTATGTAGTGTTACTTAAGTTTACCTTGAATAGATATTTTATCATATAACATACTAGATGTAGTAGCAATTGAATTTCATACCTAACTAATATACAACATAAGTTTACACAGGTTATTTAATTTTCAATTCTTTTTTTTGGCACAATGTCCATGACCTAATAAAAAAAATAACTACCCACCTGTCATGGTAACTAAGTACCCACGTCAATAGGCTATAGTCAACCAAATAACTAAATTATTTATACCAATGTTCAATATTTATTCATTACCTATTGTTAATTATTGATTATTATGTTCTACATAATGTTTAGGTAATACTATAATATGTAGGTATATGGTATTGAAACCATAATATGGATTTAATGTGTTGTAAGGGAATGGATACAATTGTTTAATATAAATGGGATTATTGTATTCAGTATTGCTACCTACAATATTTCAGTTTACTCACAAACCATAATTAACAAAGCCAACAAATCACTTAACCCAAGTTATGCCCCAGTTACTTATAGTTTAGAATTAGTGGGAAGGCCACAATTTGTAACATCACAACAAGCCATACAGTAAATAACTGTTTTGCTTCTGATGTTGATGCATAACGAAAATATTATAAAGTCAATTAAGAGTAATAAGTAGTGTTGACCAATTTACTCTATGGTCAACCAATTGAATTATAAAAAAAAAATGTATAAAAAGTTATTGATAAATGACCATAATCTACATTTTTGTTGAAAAATATGCTAAAATAAATATAGTTAACTATGAAAAATACTAGTGCTTTATGTTTATTAATAATTATGGGGCTTTGCACACTGGACCCACCTTAGCTTGCAAACCCCCACTTTTAACTGTAATTATATCATTCTTAAGGTCGTTCTTACAATGTCCGGTTAAAGTTAACCGGCCGTATTCTGCCGGTAATAATATCTGTTATCAGTTGGTTAGTGTAAACCGACACTTTACCGGACATTGTAAGAACGGTGCTTAATAGTTATTATTATTTTTTTGTCTTAGCAGTTATATTTATTGTGATTTAAAATTTCCACAATATACTTTTAGATTTCTAAAAATAAGTTTGAAAACCTTATATCCCTGTTGTGTCCATCCGTTAGTAACCAGTACATAGTCACGATTCAATTGTCTGTTTTTATAACCGTGGTTGTATTCAAAGTAAAGTCATACTAGACAGAATTAACTAATGTAAAAATATGAGTATTGAATTTATTCAAAAAAATAGGTAGGTAGGTACCAAAATATAAAATTTCCCAAATAATTATTTCTAAATTGTAGGTATAATATAGAATTATAGTTACTGACAAAATTCAAAGAAGGCATAGGTATTTATTTAAGTGTATACATTTTAAATTATAGTCAATAGATATACTTCTTAGCTTATTAGTTAGGTAATCTTAATATTTTTGGCCAATACTTGTGATAAGCATTTATGTATTTTGTATAACAGAAATAAAAAAAGAAAGGTAATTTGGTTATTTGTAGTATAATATATACCATAAATAATACATTTAGGTACCTAGTTTCATTAAATTATTATAATATACCAATTTACTATAGAAAGAAAATATTTCAGTACCATTTAGTTATTTACAAGAATATTAGTATATGAATTTACCCATTAACAATACTACTGTTTATATAATTTATTGTGATACCAGATAAATTTATTTTATACAATTTGTAACAACAAATATTATGATCCTATAATAGGTAAAGGTCTTGTATAATTGTACTATACATTTTAAATTATTTTTTTTTTTAATTTCAATATATTATTAAATAATTCTATTCGTGAAAAACAAATATATAGCCAAATGCAAGTATTAGTTACAGTTGCATTTAAAAATAACCATTGTTTTATAAATTATGTTTAAGTATATGTAGGTAATTTTAACTTCTACATTCATAACCTTGGAGCAGATCCAACATGAACGGAAATTATCACTCAGGTTTCGACAGAATACCTACTTTAAATATGATTTTTGTCAATATTTGAAGGATTCATTTTTGCATAAATAAATTATTTTAATGCTTGGCTGGGGCCTGGTCAAATTACTACAGTTTGAAGTTTAAACATCTAAAACCATTAATTGTATAACATACACAATATACCTATTAAAATCGATGCACAAACATTACATACATTTATTTTATAAAATTAATTAGGTAGATAATAACTACTTTAAGACTAAGCAAAAATCAAGATAATTTATCCAACTGAATCACTAAAATAAATACATTTGTATAAAATAGACACTTTAAACAGATAGGTAAATAGGTTAAATTCTAAAGTTGAAACTGATAAAAGGTTATTTAAGGTCTATAGACACCTAATTGTAATATTACTTGTATAATAAATAATAATTGTCACTAAGCAATATTTTTCTTACAATACAATTATTGAATTAAAAGTGGTATTTTTTGGCATAATATCATTAAACATGAATACAAAATCAACAGTTAGTTACCGAAGTTATTATCCCAAAGACATGGTCTATAAAATATGTTACCAACTTATTCTAACCTGGCTTCTGAATTTACTTTGACCCAAATTAAAATATGGATTACAAGATTCATATTATAAATATCAAGGACATACCTTGTATAACTTATAGGAAATTCAGTAGGGGAGAAGGTAACATTTTTGAGATTGCTATTTTTGATATTTGTACATTTTGAGTGCTTATTTTGATGATTTTAGGTTCTTTAATTCTCAAGCTATGGTTATGAAATAAATTCCCTATTTTTATTTTAAATAGGATTTCTTTGCAATATGTTAGGTCAATGGTAGATCTAAGTTAAAAATATTGAATACACCTATATTTTTACCAATCCTATTTTTGATTTTTTGAAGTGAAACAAAGGTTAGTCTGAATTATATTTTTAGATATGTCCGTAATATTCCTGTCTCCTGAATATATAAAAATTCAACATAAATCTACTGCTGGCATAGTTTAAGTCTATTCAAGCAATTACAAACTAAATATTCACTTTATAGTTTATATTATATACTCTGTAAAAGAATAACAATATAATATGACATTTTAATAATTTTATATAGGTCCCATGGTTAGAATTAAAAGTGAAATTAAAAAAAAAAAGTAATATAATATTTCGACCTAATCAAAATCATTTTACAATGTTATACAATTTCAGATCAATTAAAGCTTAATTACAATAATAGCATAATCCAATTAATCTGTATTTTAGATAATATAATTAATATTAAGAACTACATAGTAAGAACCCAAGTAGTTAGAATTATCTTAAATATGGAGAGATAATTTATTTATTACACAATATAACACAGGTTCAATTATAACATATCATATTACTTAATAAAAGTATTAGGTCAGTATAATAATAAGTAGGAAATGTGTGTAAGACTTAATTAATTCTTCAAAATGTTTTAAAAGAAAATTGAATTTGATATTTTCCATTAGTATATACATAATATAAACACGAATGTAGTGTATATGGCCAATCATATAACCATTTAAACCATTTAACACCAAAATTGGAGTTTAGTTCTCAATATTAAATAATTAAAAAGTGCAAACAATTATTGGATTTCATTGCCACTGATAGCAGTAACCACTTTAAACAGTTAAAATTGAAAATTTAAAGTAGGTAATCAAAGCTAAACCATTTTCAGAACTAAGTGTGAAGTACTGCATTATACTCTTATACTGTTATACTATATACTAATATAATATATTATAGCTAAAGCGTTAGGTAGGCAGTAGTAAATATTACATATTATGCAATTGTATAGCTGTATATTATGTTGGCGAGTACAAACGCTAATAAGTTGTAAAAACAGAAATAATTGAAGGGTGAGAACTTTAAACCTCGAACAAAACTTACAATTAGGCAGGTACCGTGAAATACTCTATACATTTAATTTGAAGTGAATATTTTATCGTATTATTTTACCAAGAATATATGAAAGATAATATTAAAAATAACCTTTAGATAAAAAAATTACATAAACTACTTTAAAATATGTCAAGTCTATTAGAAATATTTATCTTGGTATTTAAAGGAAACATTTTTATGAGTATATTTAAATTTCATACTAGTATTTAGTTCCATTTCTTTCATTACGATATTTATATGATATGCGAATATACAGATAATGTACCTAGGGTACCTATAAAAAAATATGCATAACTGACTTAGAGACAGTTTGTTTATCTGCCTAACTGCCTGATATTCAAATACCTTGCAAAATGTTATTTTTAGTTAGTTAATATTTCTAAGAACTAAAAATAACCTGTATGATTGTTAAATATTTTATACCATTGATTAAAATATATATACCTACTATATAATCTATAAAGTTCTCTATACTAAATATATTTAATAAATGGTAATAGGTCTAATCTAATCTAAAATCGACATGATTAACGGGACATAAGAAGCCTAATCTAAAAATGTGGGGTAAAAATAAATTCAACAAATTCTTTCATTAAAATAATAAATTCCAAAGGTACTCTTGCAGAGATTAAATTTTGAAAAAAAGTACAGAGGTAGATAGCAGAATCAAAAATAGTAACTCAACATAGACATAATAAACAAATTGTTCACTTTGTCCAATGTCATAATTAATAATATATTATTAGCATACCTACCTATATCAACCATGATCTAAAAATCACGAAATATAACAAAAATTTCAATTCAGACAGTTCCAAAGGTGGAAATCGTACACAATTACACAAAAATGTGCTATGCATATTATTCCGAGTAGGCAGGTATACAGAATTCCCTGAGTCGAGTGATGATAAAAAAAATATAGTGCAAATGAGTACATAAATTGTACAATATTATTCAGCAAACGAACACAGTTTAGATTCAACATAAGACAATAGTTATTATACTAATGGCTGTGCAGTACAACACACTGGTACGTCTATATGATGAAAAAAAAAATATTGAATTCTATGAATAGAATCAATCGACGTAGGTGCCCATTACAAATACTGTTCTGTGATATTATTATTTTGACACGGTGGTAAAAACTATATGGAAACGTATTATAATTATTATTATGTAAAGCTGTGACGTAATAATATCAGAAATCAGAAAACGATAGTGCAGCGATGCACCACGCGCGCAGTGTGCATTTATGACATATATATCGAACAAATCGAATTTATCGTAGTGAATAAAATTATAATAAATATTGTAATTACCTCGTCGGAATCGTTGCGCACACATATACAAGCGGCTCGCCTGCGAAATCCATCCTCGTCATAAATGCGAGTCGAATTCGGTTTGTCTTTCATTTTTTTTACTTTGACGACGATGTCCTAGGTATAGTAACCGAGAAAAAAATTCTACCGACGAATCCTCGGGGGGGGTGCACTATGACGGGTAGATATTGTTCGGGAAAAAATTTTAGGTGCGACTACGGGACGTATCAACGGCGGTTGACATTTTTCTTCTGAATTTTGACAATGTGGTTTTGGAACGAGCGATATTGCGAATTTTCTTGTTATACTTCACGACGAATCGAAATCCAACCGCGTGCAGGAGAGAGATACGTATAACGTACAATAATATTATATATATATAAACGTAAGACGACGACGGTGATAGTTTTTTTGTGAGTTATATAATATTACGTACGAGCTAAAGCGAATTTAGAATACTAAGTACAAGTAAAAAAATTTTTAATAAAAAGTAGTTTAATTTAAAATTAAATTAAAATAAAGAAAATGAATACGGTGTGTAAAAAAAAAAAAAAACGTAAAAAAATTATAATTAAACAAAAAAAAAAAATTGAAAAAAAACGGGGAAAAAACGGGTATTAAGAATTAAACAATAAGAGATACATTAGACAAATGTCACTTAGAGACATTGTAATCGAAACATCGTACCGCCGTTTGACGATTGCATATCGTTTCGTTCGTTCGTCCGGACCACCATAATCGTGACGACGGCGACGGCGGCGACGACGGGAATGGGTGTCAAAGTCCAAAAAAAAAATTGATGCGGCGAGAACGCTCACGGGCGGCCAACGACGCGAAAAACCAGCCAATAAAAATGCTCGGTGCCGGTGGTGCCGATGTTGGTAGCGGTAGCGCTGGTTGTCGTGGTGGTGGTGGTGGCGGTGGTGTCGGCGTGGTTCTGCCGGGGCGGTGGTGTCGGCGTGGCTCGGGTGGGGTGGTGTTGATCGTCGATGCCGTCGATTGTACGACGGTGCGGCAAGTGGTGGCGACGGTGGTGAACTGTGGCTACCAACATGGCTCTGTCGTGCGCGCGCACACGCGGGTTTGTATCGAGTATTCAAGAGGTGTCCACCGGTCCGGTGCACGCGCGTGCGCGCTGCCCAAATGCACCCGCCGGCCGCCGCCACCGTGCACATTATTATTATCATTGCCCATTAATCATTATTATTATTACTATTATTACTATAATAGTATGTTTCTGTACTATCGTGCATCGTGCGCGCCACAGAGACGAGCCACGAACGCATAGCTGATGTGTGCGCGGGCGGGCGGCTATCGTGGAGCGAGAGACGCGGTTACCGGCGGGCGGCGTTGCCGAGTTCGCGCCTGTACCGCGGTTACCCTGCCTCCATCGTCGTATTATTTTATATTTTTCATACGGCGAGACGACTATGGGCCGCGTGGAGAGTGCAACCGCGTGTGAACCGCACGCTCGAGCGCTCAAACTCATAACAAAAACGTGGTAGGACGAGACCCTCCACCGCGGGAGGATCCGAGAATGCTGCAAACATTCAACATTGCATATACGCGATCGGTGTGGCGGCCACGTTGCGGTTTGCAACCTCGCCGTCCAAGAAAAATGCAATTTTTTTATTTGCTACCGCCTCACGGTCCTGGCTGACGCGCCCACGTGACTATCGTGAAAAAAATTCGGTTTTTTTTTACCATGTCTCTCGTCGTTATACAATAACAATCGTGTCATAATTATTCATAACACATTTTTTACGTCAGACCAAATTTAACGAGTTGATTATACTTATACACTATATTATTATTAAAAAACGCGGTGTTTGGTTTTTTTGAAATATTTAAACTTTCTCGATGGAAAATAATATGTGTGTATACCTATAGTACCTATTTGGTATCGTATTTCATTTCTCTTTCCGTCCATAGTCGTCTCGACAGTCGATCGATTGTAAATATTGTTTTGGGTCATATACACTCGACCGATGCCTAACAGTTAATACCTAAATCGATGTATAGATTTTCCATACGTTTAGTATCTGGTAGGTCGTAGGTAGGTACCTACGACCTTGTAGATCCGCGAATATGAGTTAGTTAAATAATTTTTGGATCTTAAGGGTACACGCTTAGAGTAAAATATGATTACAAAACTCGCGCGTGCTTGTTAAATTGCCAACGGGATCGCCGCCTTGGCCCCGCTCTGAAATATTAGGCACCACATTTACCACTTTACAGCTATGGCCATAAACATCCCAACAAAATAATATCGTATCATATTGTCCCGTGGCCCGACGAGGTGGTAAATAATTGTCGGTACACGGTAATATCAAAGTTTAAATTAAATTAAATTTTAATTTAGTTTTACATTTGATCTGTGGTAATATAATATTATAAGTAGATTATATAATTATACGATGCACAATGTATCAGTTATTCAGTTATACATTTTGTACTTGCATACAGTACCTATAGTAAAATTATGAACGACAGTAAATTGTGCTAGGTGGCCAATGCTGGAAGCTGATGACTGATGAGTGATGGCCACAATCCCCATTGGCCATTCCCGCCATCCATACAATACTATAGTGAATATTTAAAAAAAAATGTCCAAAGGGCAAAGACCTAGATGGCTTTATTAGCTTACTCGAAACTCAACACAACTTCTGAAAAAATTAATCATTACAGCAACAGCTGTGATAATGAAATTATATAATACTATATTATTATTAATTACAATATATATTACATAATAATACGAAGAAAGAAGAATTAAAAATATCATTTTTTTAAGTACAAAAATACACAACCAGCGGCTGCTTTTGTCTTGAGATATTTATATTTTGAATGCTGTTTGTATAGGGTGGTCTATACTATTACTTATTAGCCGATGCCCGATATAGTTAATTTGACTTTTTTCTCTTTAATCAATAGAGACGGATCATGTATAGGCACGTACAGCTAAAATATTTTTATTTGTTATAATATGCGCATAAAAATTATTACTATAAAAAGCGGGTAAGTGCTCTGCTGTACAGAAGGTCACAAGTGGGTCACTGGTGGTACAATGGATGGTATTAAATTTGAATTCAATTATATAATATAATTGTGTAAGAAAAACGATTCCGAGCGGAAACAGTTTGTCAGTGTGCGTGGATATTTTATATTATATTTATACTGTTATTTCTATTATTATTATTATTATTATTATTATTTGTATTATTAATACGGTAGCCGGCAAGTTTAATTAATATTATAAAGTTACAGCAAAATAACTAAAATCGCGGTTATTCCTGGTTATTTAATATGTAATTGTAAAATAGATTTAACATAAAATTATAAAAAAACTGTTTTTATATTTTTATGATTTTTTGGTTACGGATAACCTACTTATACGTGGAACCTTGTTTTAAACTTTCAATTCTTAGCTAACAGGTTGAACATTTTATACATTTTTAAATTTTTAAGTTTTATAAATTTTGTCAAAAATTGAACTTTAATTGCTTATGAAAAAAATTTTGCCTATGTATTTTTAACATTTTTCAACCATTATTGTAACAATATATCAGGAGCATCGTATTAAATTGTCAAGAAAATCAAAAAGCGGATAAGTGCAGCGGGGTGGAGTATGTCAGCGGTGTTGGAAGTTTGCCCATCTCTTCGGACAGGACACTATAGCCTATAGGATAGTGTATTATTACAGTAGGCATTCGATTTGAATGCAATGATTGCATTAGATAAACATTAAAAAACGTTTCTGAGCGGACGATCAGTGTTACAATTAGTAATTATAATTATGTAAAGCAATATATATATATATATTTATATAGGTAATAGGTACCTATAGAAATAAGTATGTTTAATAAATAATATTAGATGTATAATTTTAAATTAGATTCATAAATTATGTTTATGTTCAATAGTAAATTGAATAAATATAAATTCATAAATTTTCATTTTTTTTATCGGTTATTTTAAAATATTAATTGTTTATATGATAAACAAAGCATTAAAAAAAAAATAGCATAGCAATAGGGTATTTTGGTGGTTTTTCCTGTGGCGTTAAAAAACTATTGAGAAAATCGAAAAATGACCTCTCTAAAGTACCGTCTTGATCCAATTTGCTAAAAGATAAGATACTATATGTTGGAATCGAAGCACTCCTATTCTGGTAGAAATTTTGTTTACAGGATAAAAAAAAATCATTATAAAACCAATATCGTTCCGCTTACAATCTAAATTTATTTATATAGTATTTGGTTAAATACTAATTGCCTTTATTGGTTAAATTAAAGAAATAAGTCGTATCTACAACTAAAATTTGTAAGATCACAATATCAACTATAATATAACAATAATATAGCCCCTCCTGCTTCAATCTGTAAAATATAGTTGATATTGTGATCTTACAAATTTTAGTTGTAGATACGACTTATTTCTTTAATTTAACCAATAAAGGCAATTAGTATTTAATTTATTATCCGGTGTTTTCAATATAATAATAATAATTTATTATTTTTCGAACAAGCAATATTTACAGGATGTATTACTAAATAACAAATTGTTATTGGATCACCTCCAAAGACAGACTGTGCTGGAGGTGAGAGTTCATGCAATTACAATATTAAATAAACATATATATCAAGAGTATAACATAAAAATAGCAAAATTACTTTAATTAATATTTTCATACCACGCAGAATGCCGATACATGCATTTTTTTATCCCGTGGAATAAATTATAGAATTTATAGACAATGTAAACCAGTAATATATACAATATTTAATATGCACTTATTTCAAAGTAAAACGTATCAGTTAAACGTACAAGCAGAGTTCGGAAGGTATACACCCAAAACTTTTAAAAATAACAATGACCACATTCTTTTATACATTTCGTTACCATCATAATTATGATAGTTAACAGGTATAAATAGGTACTATATTATTCTGCTTTCATTGTGTTTCTTAGAACTATAGATATGACAAAATATTTATTTTTTAAAAACGAAGATTTCGTTCTATTGCGTAATATAGTCAGTATAGATTTCAAATACTTACACATTTCGATGTCTTTGTTTTTTATTATATAGG